TATTCTATTCTATTCTATTCTATTCTTGGTTCTGGTCTGCCCTTGAAGGTATTCTAACTCAGACACAAGGCCCTACCTTCGACGCAGTTGGTAGAGAAAAAAGTGATATTCCTGGTCTCAAGAGGATTGTCATGGGTACAATCTGGAGAACGGGTCTGGGGTTCGGATTCACCCGTCAGGGAAGAGTTATCGACCTAGGGAGAAAACGCCACGCCATGTCAGTTTGCAGTGAAAATTATCCTGGTTTTCATCTCCAATTTGGCAGGTCAACAAGCTAACAGATCTCGAGTAGAGTAATCGTCACAACTCATTTGAAAGGACAGATGGTTTGGGCCTGTTACGTAAGTCCGGGAAAGCTGATCACTTTTGTGACAAGGATCCAAATTCATCTGTCTTCCCCTTCCCCGTATCGAACAAAAGGAACAGGGAAATCCGAGCTACAAGGTTGTGCAGCGATACGAGACGGGGGCACAACACTGATCTTGTGCTCCGTAATCTGATCTCTCTGCTTAATTTGGTTAATGGGAGAGAACAGTTGGTAAAGGACAGGGCGAATTGCTCTAATCCCCCACGGCTTGAGAGTCTGTTGCAGAGCTGAAAGGAACAACAGCTGAAAGAAGACGGTAAGATCTCCACCAACCTTGCAACCGTGAGCCGAGATGATCCTTAGGTCAGCTGGGACTCTGTCGCCTCCTTTCACCTCTACGAGATCGCCAACCACCACATCCTCAGCGTTCAGCTGCATCTTCTCCCCTTCTCTAATCACCAGGGCTTGCTTTAGATTAGAAAGCAAACTTCATTCCATTAAAAAAATATTCTGGATTTTCAGCCATGCTGATACATGTTCCTCTTAAATGTTTCTTCGTAAATCTATCCTTTTCATCAGCAACACAATTCTCACACTACCTAGGAATTGTCTCATAGAATTGTCTCAACACAGTTGGAGTTTGCCATGTTGCCTCCAGAAGAGAACATGGTGTCATTGCTTGTAATTATTATTTAACACATGTGCAGCAGATGTAGCGTCTCCTATTTGGGCAGGGGGTTGGACTAGATGATCTGCAAGGTCCCTTCCAACTCTGTTAATCTGTTGTCTTGCAAAGGTTTCATGTCTGATTTCATAAACCCAAGATTCTAAACGGTTGTGTTCTCTCGGCAGCCTTAACCAGAGAAACTTCGGATTAACCCCCTCTGGACAGTGCACACTACACTGGATCCTAAATTAATTTAATGGCTTGGGTTCACACAACACACCAGAAAAACAAGGTTAAAACTAAACTCAGCATGGCACCTGACGACCCCTCACTCCTTCTCACAAAATCCCCTGAAATGGCTCCTAACTTCTGCTCCCGTTTTACAAATAGCTGATCTGAAAGACACCGTCAATGAAAACAATACCTATACGATGTGTAATGTCCCGCAGTTATCTACGCATTAGTAATGATCTAGTAATATTTCCTTATA